ACGCTAGGTTTCCCAGGGGAAGGCCCTGATCGTTCTTGGACTATCCTCTCCTCCAATGTTGGTAGTTTCATCAAGGATAATACTTGGAAGGGCTGGGAAGACAATGTCATTTGTTTGCAGGAAACTCGCATCGGGCGGAACAACTTTCGTAATGCCATCAAGTCCGCTGCCGCTTTTGGGAGGAACCTTATCCTTGGTGATTTACTCCCTGGCCTTTTTCGGTCTGATGGCTCCGGCTCCACGTCGCATGGTGGTGTTGCTATGATCGCCCCGAGCCAGCTTTCGGTTCCTTTCCAGAAGTCCGATGACTGCTCTGGTCTCTTTGAAAGGGTTTTTCACTCCAAACGTGTTCAAGCCACTTGGTGTCAAGTTCTCCCTTCGCTTAAGATCTTAGTTTTCAATTTCTATGGTAAGTCTGGGGCCTCCGCTTCTCATGACATCCTCCAGTTCAATGATGAGATCCTTCGTGATATTTTTCAGATTGCGAGTCGATTCGGGATATTCCGGTCCTTGTGGTTGGTGACTTTCAACTTGCACCACTCCAATACCCTTCGGTTGCGACTGCCGTGCATTTTGCTAATTGGTTTGATCCTCTCACCAACTATCTTGAAGATGGGTCCCCTGATCGACCCATCACGTATAGCAGGGATTGCAATTTCACTGCTTTCGGGGAACATTGCTCATCCATTGATGGTATTCTCATGAATCAGGTTGCATTCAATTGTCTCAAGTCCATTGAAACGGTTGGTTGGTCCCATAAGCAGCACCGTCCGGTCCGGGCTTCCTTTGACTGGCTGCCCATCTTCCAAGTCGGGCCGGTCCATGTCAAATTTGCAGCTTTAGACACTTCACATGTTGGTAAGCCTACTTGTCCCCAAGACTATCAATGCCATCAGGTAATGTGGGATGCTGCCCTTTCCTCTCAATTCGATCGACAGTCACCTGAAGAGTTGTGGTTTGATATCAATCAACATGCGATTTCCGCCTTGGTCACTTTGGGTGCGACCTGGTCGAACGGAGTCCATAAGCGTGCGGCCCCACCTATTTTCCAATCCAACCGGGCCAAATGCCTTCTGGGGCTGCAGTTTTCCTTCACCTTTCTTGGTTACACAATGCTAGGGCCAAGGTCTTTGACATCCAAGCCAAAGTTGCCAAACCGTACCTCTCTGATAAGGAGTGTGACATTTTGCATAACGCCCTGACCAAGCTTAACAGACTGTTGTCTCGCTTGAAGGCTCCATTTTGTTTTCGCTCCCAAAGCCGGTTGTCACTTGTCTCACTGCATGAATGCCACCTTTGGCTTCAGTGTCAAATTGAAAAGCGCGAGCATGATCTCAAATTCAGGCGCATCAATGCTTGGAAGGAGAAAATTCGAGATTCGGCCAACTCTAGCCGTGCCTATATTTACCACCACCTCAGGAATAAGGCACAAGATCAGCCCAACAACCTCGTCATCGATCAGCAAAGCCATATTGTTTACCAGCCTGTTGATGCACTGAGCGCGATCAACGAGCAATGGGATAACATCTTTGCTGCAAATGTGGGGCATGATGATCCTGTCGATGTTCTTAAGGTGCTCTGGCCGTATCTCTCTAGGGAGAATCGCCCCTGGGACCCTCCGCCACTTACTGGTGCCGACATCTTTGCCACCCTGAAAGCTAGACATGCGCACGCCGCCCCCGGGCTAGATGGCTGGAGAACTACCGAACTCCAAGCCTTTCCTATTGAAGTGTGTGAGCTTGTTGCAGCCTTTTTTCGGAGACTTGAGGCCAATGTTGATCACTCGATTCCACTTGCCTTGACCACAGCTAAGATTGTGATCTTAAATAAACCTGGCCTCTCTTCCCCGCTAAATAAAAGACTCATTACAATCTTGCCACCGCTGCTACTTGCCTATACGGGCTCTCGCTTTCGGCAAGCTAAGGAATGGCAAGCTGCCATCATGCCTCCATCAATTGTTGGGGGAATTGCAGGCAGACACATGACTGCTATCCCTGCCAAGCTTAGACTTGACCTTGATGAAGCTGCGCTAGCTGATGAAGCCATTGTGGGGATGAAGCTTGACAAGAGCAAGTGTTTTGACCGCATTGTTCCGGCCTTTGTTGCAATCATCCTGCTTGCTTTAGGGTGCTCCAAGGCTGTTGTCAGCATTTTTGTTCGGCAATACACGGGCCTGCGTAAACATCTTTCGTATCGGGGCTGGACTTCTGGTAACTCTACTACTGCCCCAAATGGAGTTGCCCAAGGGTGTTCTTTCTCGTTGATTGCCATCAATGCATACATGCGTTCGTGGGTGGCCTTCCTCCATTGTTCCCCACCTTTCGCGCCGCATCTATATTGACGATATATATATCTTTGGGCTAAAATCCAGTTTGGCGCTAATCTTAAGCCTGCGCTGGAAGTCACTAAGCTTTGGGATTCCCTTGTCGGTCAAAAACTTAACACGGAAAAATCAGTCGCTTGGGCGTCCAATGCCTCAGCCAGGAAGACTGTCAAACACGAGTTTCCCGGTTTCTTAGTTCAGGAAACTTTTGATGTTTTGGGAACCAAGATTTACACCTCTCAGCGGAATGCCGTCGATTTCTCCGACGAAAAGACCCAAAAGATTTATGGTGACATTCGCAACATTGGTGCCCTGCCGTTGCCACGTAAGAGTAAAAGTCAGCTTATTGGTTCCAAGGTCATTCCACAATGCTCGTTTGCTGCGCATATTACCAAGGTCCCTAAAGCTGTCCTTGACAAGATCCAAGCTGAAATCACGCAAGCACTCTGGGGTCAACGCCCTCACTGGAGAGCCAAACACCTTGTTCTTGGTCTTCTTGCGCAGCCCTACCGAAATGATCCATATTTGGCCCGTTCCTTCTGTGCAATTTTGGACTTTGTGCGTTTCATCCAACTTGAACATGATGCTTTTGAGCGTTGTTGTAAGATTGCAAGCCTTCCGAAGGCAGGCAAGCATTCACTTGTTGGGAGCATCCAATCTGCTTTTGCTGATTCTGGCCTATGCCTTGATGACACGTTGTGCATTGGTTTTGGGAACGGCATCAAGATCTCCCTACATGAAGTTTCAGTGCGTGACATTGCACCTGTTCTCAAACATTTTGCCGTCCAGGTTCATTATTCGCACCCAGCAAATCTCAACCGTAAGGATTTCTTCAAGCCTGAGGGCTTTATTGATGTCTTCCACACCAAGCTTTTTGGCAGAAAGGCTAATGTTCAACATGGTCCTGGTCCGCCACTTCAGGCCTACTTTGAGGCTCAACAAGTTGGCTGCACTATCACCAACGACCGCAGATTCGCAGCCAAATTCGCAGATAGCAGTGCCTGTCGATTTTGTTCTCGTGATAAAGAGTCACTTGTACACATCCTGGGCTGTCCTGAAGCCCAGAATCACTTTCAGTTTGGCCCTTCACGTGAATTTGGTTCCAATTTTCAGCAGCTTGGCATTATTGAACACCCGTGGCCCGTGCTACGGCACCGGCTACGTATTGATCGTGCTGGTGATCTTGTGCCACAAGTGTTTGATTCCCCTGATGATATCCTTTCGCTTTGGACAGATGGCTCTGTGTTTTGGGGCGAGTGTTTTCCGCTCACTGCTGCTGGTTTTGCTATCATTCAGGAAGATGGTAGCACTTTGGCCGCAGGTCCTGTGTCGCATTTATCTCTTTCCTCGTGTTCTGCGGAACTTTGGGCAGTTGTCGTCGCAACAGCCATGGCACACTGCTGTCTTTGTATTTACAGTGATTGCTGTGAGGTTGTTACCAAGGTCAATGCTCTTGTTCAAACCCGCCGAATACCTGGTGACTATGTACACATTGAGTGGTGGCAGACTCTCCTTCAGCTCATCAATGCTAGGAGCCCCCTTTGCCATGAAGATGTTCTTCGGATGGTTTGGATCCCGGCTCATGTTGATGACCATATTCCTGTGTCACTCATTTCAGCTGAAAGAATTATATAAACAGGTTGGGACTTCCCGCAAACACATTGAACTCAATCGCCAAGCTGACAAAATTGCCAAACAGCATGCACTTGCCCGTTGTGGCCCGTTGTGCAATTGCGCCCGGTGACAAAGACTTCTTTCACTCTGCTATTTTACACCAGCAGGAGGTTCTCACGCTCCTCAACAAACATATAGGCTCAGAATGTTTGGAGGACTTTAAGTTCGAGACGCAGTCCACAAAGCAACTTGAGCTTCAAGACCCTCGGAAGTGTTTCCCTGGGCTGGCTTGGGATACAGAGGAAAGTGATTTTTCGATTACACTTGATTTCCCGGATGAGCCACCTCCATCGAAGGTGCTATTTGGTGCTGAAGATTGGATCACTGTGCTGGCTTTTTTCCGATCTTTACAATGGAAGGTTCACGATGAAGTTTTGTGTACGTATCAAGAACTTGCTTTTCTTTTCTACAAGCGAGGATTCCGGCTTCGAAGTCGACCATCTCATTTTCAAGACCTAGTGTTGCAATTACGGAAGTGCATTGTCACGATTCAAAGAACGCCCTTTGCTGTTCCTGGGACTCCGACTGCCCGCGCTACGAAGTGCATTGGGCGGGTCCTCCCACGAGGCGCTGTGGTGGGTGCACTTCCGTTTTTTGCTCAGAATGAGCTTCTTGCATTTTGTCGCATCCTTGCTGAGGGTGCTGGGAGGTCGGCTGAGACCTGGACCTTTCCTTTTGAACACCTTCTGTAGCTGCCCCTCTAATTTGTGCAACCTTTTGTTCATCGATCAGTGTGTCGTGGACAGGACGTGTCACCCCAGGGATCCGACTCGTCTGCGTGTGAACAGAATAGACTACCTGGAGGTCAACCTACCCTGGTTTGGGGCTCCATGTTTGGACCCACACCCATGTCCGTTTCTGTAAGGAGACTCGGAATTGAACACATGATTGCCCTCCACACATTGAGCACACTTCCATTTAAGGTTTGTGCAACATACAATGTCTGCATTAACCTGCACTCACACCACAAGCTTGCTGATGTTTTCATTTGCCGTTTGCCAACCTTCTGATCCTCCTCTGGCGTTGGCTCCCCAGAAATCAAGCACTGATTGAAGCGCTCCATCACCGCAGTCGGCAACTGACAAGAGAGAAAGAGATAATCAAAAAAGAAAAGCGACACGTAAAATTGCCACATTAATATGTATTAATAACATGTATTTCGATCTACAGTAGATTTGGTTGAAACAAGCCATTGAAGGCACCTTCTGGGCCATCACAACATCATCAAACATGGCGGTACCAGCAGCTGCAAGCACGTCTGCCATGGTCGGAAGATGCAAGCACGTCTGCAGTGTGTCGAACTGATGCCAGGCACGCGCTGTGAACTGTAGACGCCGCGTCTTGTAAGGCTCCACAGAGGGAAAGAGAGAGAGAGAGAGAGACAAAGAGACTTTGGGCATGTGACTGAAATCTGTACGGATTGAACCTGTGTTTACAGTCCAGACTCCCACGCTCTCAAGCTCTCACGCTCACTACATCTACTGAGGTTTAGATGTACACGATTGAAAGAAAACGACATTCTGAGCAAGACAGGACAAAACCCAACTTAAAACGACAGGGATGGGGTGTTCAACGAGCCGAGGCTGCAAACAGCAAAGTCCAATTGTCTATACAATTTCATCTAATTTCTAGGTCTTGAGCTCGGCCTACTGTGCAACCTCAGCCCCTGGCCGCATCAGGATTCACGTGCAAGCTCCGTGCCCAATAGAGCGCTCCCAAGGCCTCATGTTGATCCCTTCAGCTCGTCACATCGACGGTCTAAGGTGTGCACAATCTCCTACATGTCAGGAGAGCGCTTGGTGGCCCTGCCTCATTCCATCTTCCATACCAAATGCAAGAGCTTAGAGAAGATGACAGCTCCGGTAGGGAGGGCAAGATCCGCCTGGCGCAAATCAAGCTCAGGATATTGTCCCTCATTTGAGCAGAGGATATCACAAGGTTCGTGGCCTGTAACTCGCTTGAAACACCACGGCAGAGCGAACTTGCATATCACAGCCCATCCATCATTGTAAGTGCAAAAAGAAAAAGGTCTGTCCACAGAATGTCACACGCACACATGCACACTGATCGAACGACAAAGCAAATCTCTTTGATGACCTGCTTGCATTGCTGTGCAGGAGCTCAAAAGCACATTGCCAGCCTCAAAAGCACATTGCCAGGTCTTTGTTCGCCTCCAGGAGCCCCTATTAGCGTCGTTCCTAGTAGCGATGCCCTTTGCTCCTAGTAGCCATTTGCTCCTAGTAGAAAGGCCAGGAGCCCCTAGTAGCTTTATTGTTCCTAGTTGCACGAAGAGCTCAAAAAATGGATGCCCACTCGTCACTGCATCAACATCAATCAACGAAAACGGAACGACCTAAACGGAAAAAGACACCCACAACGGAAAGTCAACAACGACAAGAGGTGGACATAATGTGACATAATAACATCACAAAGACATGCAGTAGTATCTGTATCTCTCTGTCTGAATCTTTCAGTGGTCACTGTTTGTAGAATGTGGATCAAAATCCTGATACTTGCAGTCTCCACAGACTAGACCATTGAAAACAAAAAACACATCTAAAAAACACACCCACTCTATCAAGAGAATCGAGGGGCAAAAGTGGGATCTACGGCCTGACTCTGGTTGTGCAATGAGGTGATCAAACCCGTCTGTGGAACAGAAGACTTGGTTGTCTTGGATTAGATTTTCATCAAAGTTGGATTAGCAACGACATTTCGATGTATCTGACCAATTGGGCTGAGTTGATCACATTGCCATAAACAAACATGTAGTAGACAACAAAAGAAGCATAGGCAGAAGCCAGGAACTTATATAGCAGTATACATTATTGATGTATTCAGTTAAACATTGACTTGTTATCTCGGCTCAAAAAGGCTTCTGTTAGCGACTGCGTCATTCGGAGTTTTTCATGACCGGATCTATTCTACATTAATTATATCAAAGTACCGACGGCGGCGCGACGGTCCGTGGCAGCAGCGCGGATCTTTTGGACCAAGAGCGCTCTGCGGGTCACGCAGAGTTCAAACAGCTTGCAACAGACATGATGCCAACCTGCAAAGCTAGTATGCTTACCTGCTATGCTTGTCCTGCATGGATGTTTCAGACCCCTCCTTAGCTTTGGAGGCAGCATCTGTCTCTGACCGTTTCACGGCCTTGCGTCGATGACGCCCAGCTCGAATCGCCATCTTTCTGGCAAAAGCTTCTTCGCTGGGCCGGAGTCGCCACATGCTCGTTGCCATGGCTTGGAGGATCGGCTCACGTTCACAGCCAGCTTTCGTCAGCACATCGGCTAACATCTGTGCCGTGTCACACCAGATGGCCTGCTCGTTATGGTCATCGTAGTTGGTGTAGCCGAGGATCTCTTTCACCTGGGAAACTAGGATCTTCACTCTCTTGTCGGTCGGTTGCCCTGCATCTTTTGTGATCGTACTTTCGAGGGATTTGGCATCCGTGATGGCAATCATCAAAGGGCGAGCCATCTCCTTCTCGATGTCGCTGAGGGAGAGCTCTGGATGCTTCATCTCCAGGATCAGTGACCTGACATAGTCACCAGCTTCGGAGCCCATCAGGAAGGCGTTTGCCTCTGCAGCAAGCGTTGATCTGCAGACCCTCTTGATGCTTCCTGAATAGGTTTCCAGGAGCAAAAGTGGAACTTCTTCTCCACTTGCGATCTCGGGGATGGTGAGGCCGATGATGTAGCCACATTGCGACTTCATCTCAACATTTGCAAAGCTACTGTCCGCGAAGACGCAGACAATGACGTTGTCCCAAGTCAACCTCTCGTTGGGGTTGAAGATGTACTTCGCTTCTGAAGTTTCTTTCATCATCTTCACCGCCTTGTTCAAGTCAATGATGTTCTGAATGGTAGGCTTTCCCATGGTCTGGGATGCAAGGCTCACGTTGACAAGGAGGTCGGGACGAGTCTGTCGGGTCACCCAACCCATGGAGCCAATGAGTCCCCTGAACTCGGACTTCTCCTCTTCAGTGAGCGGGGCGTTCGGTGTTGTTCTCCTTTCTTTCTTCAGGACGATGTACTCGATGCTTTCAATGGCATCAAACTGGTCAAGCTCAATGCGTCCATCAACGCGCTTGACGTTCTTTCCACAGAACCTGAAGTCGTCCTGCTTCACCTTTAGGTGGATCTCCTTCTCGAGGATCTTGATCGTTTCGAAGAACTTCTCGCCGGTTCCAGTGCAGAAGAGGTCATCAACGTGTGAAGCCATGATGCCGGAGAGAGAACCATCCACAAAAAGGTAAAACAAGGCTTGCTCAATGCTTGACATCTTCCATCCTTGGGCCTTGACGGCATTGAAGAGCTTCTTCCACCATGACCTTCCAGCATCTCTTGTGCCATAGATGGAGCCCTTGGCACGAAGGAGATCGGTTGGCAGTATGCCAGGTGGAGGCGGCCGAGGTGGCCTGAGAATCAGCAAGCGGCTGATCCCCTTTGACTGCAAGTAGGCTGTCGAGGCATCGCACGCAACCAATGGCCAACCTTGCAAGACGGAGATGGAGCAAATGAGGTTGAATGCAAGCAACGAGGCTGTGGGCGAATCAGAACGGATCCCAGTCTCTTCTTCTTGATGTCCTTGAACGACGATGCGAGACTTTGCTTCGAAGGGAAACTCCTTTTGGATCTGTTCTTTGGTTTTCTTTGTCTTCTTTGACATAGCAGCGGCGAGCAGTCTGGGCTTCTTGTTCTTGTCGACATGAACCCATCTTGTTCCGATGATCTTGGTATCACCGGGCAGCGCTTCAACCTGCTCTTCAGTGAGAACTTCAACAGCGCTGAACTTTTGCCAGGATGCCCATTCTTTTGCCATAGCTGCGTCAAACTTCAGTCTGTCCTCAGGCGGCAGCTCAAAGATGTTCACCTCAGTTCGGACTGCTGCTCCAGTGAGGTAGGAATCATTCTGCAGCACGTCATTCTTGAGGTTGTGGTGCGAGACATCATCAATCGCTTCATCATCTTCAGTTTCGCTGTCATTGCTGATGTCACCAGCCATGCGGAGCAATCTGAGGTTCCGTACAGCAGTGTTGAGGTCCGGGAAGACATTTGGAGTGCCATCTTCAACATAGTATGGACCTTGGAGTGTGTGTCCTCGAGATGCTCTCACAGGTCCAGGCTGTGGCGGTAGTGGATGTCCGTCAAGCCTGTCTGGAGTCTGCATGGCATGTTGGAGATCTCCATGCCCTTGTCCAGCAGATTGCACCGGAGGTGTCTCAGGCACATGTGTAAAGGAGTGGCCAGGCACTGGCTCTTCCAGGTCATCATCTTCTGGGACTGGTGGCAAAGCTCCACTGGAATGATCAGTGGGTGATGGACCTGTTCTGGGTCTTGTGCTTCTTGTTGGAGAGATAGGATCTGTGGATCCGATGGCCTCTGCTCTCTTAATGCCTGATGGCAGTGACGGTGACTCTGCTGCGGCTGCTGGAAGTGGCAATGGAATTGGACCTGACTGATGTGGTTCATGAAGTTCCTCATCCTCAAGTTGTTCTTGTTCATCTGGACCAGGCTCAATCATTGGGATAGCATGATGCCGGAGGTCGACATAGTTCCGGGCACCTTTGGTGTACTCTGGTTCCAGAACGCTTTGTGGCACGACGTGGGCAGCAACCAACTCATCTTCACTTGCAAAACGAAGTTGCTCGCCAGTCACCAGGACAACTGATGGGCCATAGCGTACCCAATAGGAATGAGGTTGTCCTCCGCCGGTGGGAATCTCATCTTCTTGACCTCTCTTTTGATTTCTCATCTCAACGCCAATCACTCTTGCTGGACCATACCATTTGAATCCTCTGCTGTCGGCACCTTGTTGTTGACGGAGGAAGTAGACATAGGCACCGATTGGAAATGGACCACGAGTGGGTGTTGACTGATGCAGCAATGCCCTTCTCACACGGCTGTCGGTGTCCAACTTGATCTGGCAGATTCGAGCTGTCTCTCGCAGAGCCAGGTTTCTTGCCATAGCCGATTGAGGGTTGTCAGCTGCTTCGAGAAGTTCAAGCCGTTCTTGATCATCATCAATCCTCAAACTGCCAGGAATTCTGACTTCTGGAATGCCAAGCACCCATTGATTTGGAGCATAGCCATTTGCTCTGGGGTGTGCGTTCCTGATCTGAGTGACGATGGCAGTGGCGATGATCATGTCTTGGAGTCCAGTGATTTGGCTTTCGTGAACTACCTTCTTCATGAGCTCTTTCCAAATGCCGCCGGCCTTCTCGACCTTGCCTTGTTTCCAAGGCGCCTCAAGTGGCATGACCTCCTGTTCGACTCCGAACTGCTTCAAGTAGTCGGCGAAGTGGGCAAGAAACTCACGTCCTCGGTCCACCTGGATGGATCTAGGAAGACCTGCCCAAGATGACCATGCAGTAAGGAAATGACGGAGCACGGCACGTGAAGCTGGTGGTCCTTGAGATTCACCGAGGCAAGTGACCACTTGGAAAGATGTGCCCTCATCGATGATGTTCAAAAAGGAAAATTGCTTGTTCTCAGCATCTCTGCAGTAGAACACATCGAGCGACAGGTGGGCATTGAAGGTGTAGTCGCCAGGGAGTCGTACTGGTTTAGGTCGTCGGCGACGTATGCTCTCACCACAGGAGTCGCAAGAAAGCAGTGCAGCTGCTCTCAGGGCTTCAGGTCGAGCTTGTTGCCTCCTGAGGATCCTGAGCAACGTGGTGTTTGTCGGATGACCAAAGTTCACGTGGAGGACTCGCAAAACTCTTCGGAGCTCTGGGTTCACTTGAAGCCATTCTTGACGACGTTGGGCTTCTGATATGCTCAAAGCGGGATCTAGTCCTGCAGCGACGTGAGCTCGATATTCTTGATCTTCAAGCGGAGGTGCATCCTCGTCCTCAGGGACATCAGGATCTTCATCCAACAACTCAGGTAGTGCTTGAGGTCGAATATAGACGGGAGGTGCAGCAAACTGGTCCATGAGGATTGCCTGCTTGCCTCGTCTTGGTTTTCGCCTCTTTTGCTGAGGTGCGCTTGCTGGAGTGGAAGGAGCTTCTGCAGGGAATGCTTCATGAACACCTCGGAAAGCAGTTGTTTCGATCTCACGTTGTTGCAGCATTGCTGTGATCACCATCTCATTCAACTGATGGGGCCAAACGGAAGCTTGAGCAGTGCGACTTCCAAACTTGTTGGCACCTTCGAGGATCTCATGCTGGTGTGAACCATCACAGTGACATGTGGAAAACAGTGTTTCAGCAGACACCAAGCTCGTCACATAGTAGCTAGGTTTCTTGTGTGGGAGACCTGATTCAGAGTCCTTGTAGCCAACCATGCAGCCATCAACCTTGATGAACATGAGGCTGCCTTCATCAAGTAGTCGGCGGACATCGGCCATTTCAGGTTCTTCAAGACTCTGTGAGCCGAGTGGCTGTTCCAAAAACACATGCCGTTGGGCCTTGATGCGGTCTTTCACGGTCTTGTTGACAGTCTTGAGCACTTCACGACCTTCAGCTCGAAGATGCTCGATGGTGACTGCGGCTGTTCCACCTTTTGCCAAATTGAAACGACTCCAATTTCCCCACGGGCCACAGGGGTGTGTGATCACCAGCAAATAGGGGTCCTCTTGGATGAGATCGTGGTGGAGCTGCTTGCGACCTTTTGAAGTAGTGGCGTCCCACTCATTTGCAGTGAAATCAAGAGGCACACCGCACGTCAGTCCAAGGAGCACTGCCATCATGGTCAGTCCCATCTGTCCAGCAAAGAGTTGTTTGAGCCAGACTCGACCTGAAGGTGGTCGTCGAGGAACCTTGTGAGGTTGACCTTGGATGGCACGACGGTGAAGAAAATCTTCTCCTTGTAGTGCAGCCTCCATACCGCAGATTCGCTTCCATTTCTTGTTGGTCGTCTTTCGAGTGATGTACTCGTCCTTGGCGATGGAAGCAAAGAGGGACTCATCCTCGCAGACGAAATGGCAGTCATGGGAGTTGCCATCAGGATCGAGGTACTCCTTGACGTCTTCTCGGAGAGAAGCGGTCCAGTCTTCGTGGTCATGGACATCATCAGGATTCTGGCCACCATAGTCGCGAGGGTAGTCATAGTCAGCGAGGACTTCTTTCTCGAATGCACGGATTTCTTCTTCAGTCGGGCTGGCCTCCTCCGCCAAACCCGGGGGATGCTGAACATGATGTTGAGCAGTAGTGGATTCAGTTCCGTGCTGATCTTCATCATCGCTGACGAACTCGTCCAGCTTCTCCTCATTGAAGTCGAGGAGGTTCAAGGCAAGATGCCCTTTTGCTGTCTTCAGCAGTGGCTTGTTGTGGACGTTGACCTTGAGGAAGGAGATCGTCTGGTCGGCCAAATTGATCACAGCTCCAAGCTCTTCCATGAAGGGGCGACTGAGCAAGAGTGGAGTATTGCCTGGAGTCTCTGCGCTGTGGATCTCTCCATGGACCTTGTAGATGCCGACTGGGAAAACTCGGACATGTTTTGACTCAATCTTGCCGCCAATGCCTCTGAAGATCTGGTTCTTGACGCGCTTGGAAGAGGAAAGGCCACGGCTCACGAGTTCCTTCTCCATTTGCTCGGCCCAAGACTTGCCGTGCATTGTCCTCGTGCAGCCGGAGTCCAAGATGGCGAGTCCTGGAGGATCTTCAGCGGACAGTGCATAACTCTCCTCATCCGGAGAGACCATCATCACCTCACACTCATGGACATTCACGGTGTTGCCATCGTCGATGTCATACTGCAGGGGAGCGAGGATCTTGCGGACGGCCTTCATGTCATCTGGGTCAGTTGACCTCTTTCCCTTGGCTTCACCTTCTTCTTTTGACGGTTTGGTCATCCGCTCAGCTGATGCCTTGACGAGTCGAAGTCGGCCATAGAGGTAGAAGGCAAATCGGAAAATCTCTGGGCCGCTTGGCTCGTTGCGGAGAACATGTCCCATCACGGACTTGCAGTAGCCCTCGGAGGCAAGAGACTCTGCCACATCGCGAAAGTAGTGACCTTGAAAGGGGCCACCGTCGTTGATCTGTTCTTCATCATGTGGCAATGGCTGAAGGATGTCCATGTCCTCTGAAGCCAACTCAGGTAGAGGTGGTAGATCAACATCGGGTGCAATCATAATGCCATAGAGCCAGACACGCTGTCGAGTGGCTCGGACAATCTTGGCAACTCTCGGAGCAGAAGTTGCGTTGCTTGATGGTGAGGATGGCGAAGGATAGCCACCAGAGGCACCATCGCAAAGAGACCAGCCATCATCATGCGGTGAGTCAGGGATCGGGCCAGCAGTCTTTCTTGTTGTCCTTCTGGCAATGGAAGCTGCTGCAGGTGCTGAGGGCGCCATGGTCAGTGCCTTGTCACGGCGAACTTCTTGATCATACTCATCACGAACTTGTCCAACTCGACGGAACAGTCCAGCTGACCTAGCTTCTTGCCCCCACTTGGTGCACATGAGGATCTGGATGAAGTAGCCCCAGAGTTCAACAGCTTCTTTTCGGTGGCCAACGATAACAGTCTTGTTGCATTCAGACTCCTTGCAGGTCACGTGACGAGTGTGGCCATTGGCACCTCGGTGGTATTTCCTCTCGGAGCCACCGGTGTAGCTGGAGTGTTCACATAGCTTTGGGCAATGAAGTGTCATCAATGACTCACCTTCGTCCTCTTCAGACTCATCGCAAACGTGGCTGAAGGCGACTTTTGAGCGACGCTTGACCGGCTGGTTTCCATAGTCGATCTTCACGCGGGACACCTCGGCAACCTTCTTGGAGTTCATGGTGTAGTGAGCCAAGAGGTACATGCCATAGGAAGTGTCAGGGAGCGACTCAATCTCAGGGACAAAGAAACCGGCAGGGTCGTACGAATTCTGTGCGGGGTCATTGTCCTCAGGAGCGGTGACGGGTTCCGAGATGTAGCACTCCTGAGGCTCAGCTTCAGCGCAAAGTGCAGTCTCCTCGGCAGGGTTGTCCTCAGGTTCATGGCCATGAGAGACGAACAGGGTGGTTGCCACCTTTTGGGGTTTCTTCTTTGCCGATGGCTTCCCCTTCCCTTTTCCCTTGCCTTTCCGGGATGCAGGACACTCAGCATCACCGGCCCAGTGACCCTTCTGATGGCAGACTGTGCAAGGTGTCACTGACTTGAGGAACTTGACGGCAGTGCGCCGCTGGTCACGAGCTTTCTCGGAGAAGCTCATCTCTCCCTTGGCTGTGAAGCCAAGTTGTTGTCCAGCACTTGTAGTAGGGCTCGATGAGGGGGTAGGCCTTCCACCAAACTTCTTCTTCTTATTGAAGCGGTGTTGAGCCACAGTTGCAAAGGCTTCTGCGACGTGAGGATCTTCTTCGAAGTCAGGGAACTCGCTCAACAGAGCATCCATGAGTTCATCATCACTGTACCCTTGGAACGCTTCTTCATCATCAGCGACCTGGTACTCCTCATCGTCCTCGTAGTATGCGTCCTCATCTGCAGGGGTGAAGTCAGGTTCATCCTCGACTGCCAGGACCTGTCTGGTCTTATGGTCGAGCCTGCCTCGCCACTTGGCCCGGAAGTGCTGTGACTGGAGAGGTTGGCCTGAGCTGCGTGCACCAAGATAATCTCGTCGGATCACGGGCTTGCCGGCAGAGTTGGGGTACTGGATCCTCATCGCGTGTGCGATCTTCTGGAACTCGTACGTGTTGTTGCAGGAACTCAGGATGCTTGTCTGTTCCTTGGGATCCAGGCCTCCAAAACATAGGAGCATCATCGCCCGGATCTGCTCAGGGACGGAGGTTCCAGTCGCATTCTCCTCCAACCTTCGAAAGTCCTGCTCCCGTCGAACGATGTACTGCTGCATCGTCTCGTTGTTCTTCCTCCAGACATTCGGGGAGTAGAAGGCTTGGAAGAACAGTTCACTCGTCTTGACGGGGAGCTCGGCTGCTATGCTGTCCTTCAGCGTTTGGATGAACAACTTCATCCCGGCATCCGTTGGTTTTCCCTCTGAGGTTTTCGTCTTCAGCTTTGGATGCTCTAGCTTCCGGACCGACTCATAGGCTGCGCCGGAAAGACCTGCTCGAAGATGGACAGGGGTGGCGATCTGAAGTGCGTCCTGGCCTTCACGGCCGTGGAACAAATCCCAAGCTCGTTCTTCATATTCTTCAAAAAGCTCTGCCTCGCCGCTATACTGCGGCACTCCGTGCCGATCGGTGAGGATGCTACCAGCGTAGGCCATGGGGAGCTTGGAAGGGCAGCTTCAACAAGCTCAGCAGCAACGGAGGGCGCCGCTCGCCTCCACAGGCGAAGCGACCGCGAAAGGAGCGCAGCGGCAGCGCCAGCAGCAGCCAGCGCCAGCGTCGCCCGGAGTTAACCGGGCTCCGCTTACCATCAAAGTACCGACGGCGGCGCGACGGTCCGTGGCAGCAGCGCGGATCTTTTGGACCAAGAGCGCTCTGCGGGTCACGCAGAGTTCAAACAGCTTGCAACAGACATGATGCCAACCTGCAAAGCTAGTATGCTTACCTGCTATGCTTGTCCTGCATGGATGTTTCAGATTATATATTGTGTTCTATGCAAAACCACTGTTTGAGAAGCAGCAACACAAAGCATACACAACTGTTTGACTTGTGTCGAAGGCAAGGTGCGGGCGGCCGTGATCGCAGGCCTGGTGAAAAGCAATCACTGCGTGTAGGACCAGTGTAGGAGTCAGTTGATTCCCGTCGCTGCGTCTATATACTGCGATTGTGAGAGGTGGGTTGTTCAGCCTTTCCAACAACTAGTTATTCATGATGTTCATGATCTTCATGTGAATACTCCTCTTGCCCATTTCTTACCTTGACAAGGCTCTCGGAATGAAGGCACGGTGGCAGATCGTTGGCAATGCTGCTGCAAAACCCGTCTTGAACGATTCCACCCATCAAGATATTCTATTAATAAAGGCGCTGCTTGGTTCCACAATTCTTCATATGGCAATCTTGTATACAATGCAGTAGCAGTATCAACTTTGAGGATGCCTACAACTTGAGCAACTGAAATCCTGCAGCAAAAGCGTTCGAAAGTGGAGGGGCGATCAAACCGTCATGAATAATATCTGGGCATTCGCAAACTTATATACTATAATCCAATCGATGTCATCACGGTGTCACAATTAAGTTGTTGGTTGTGGAGCTTGCCGAGGCATTTGGTGACAAGAAGTGGCACCTTTCAGACCCACACTCCGTCCATCCAGGTCCTGGGTTCGAAATGGTGATGGAAGTAAAGTTCCCAGTAGTGCTTGAGGTGCTCCTGAAATTCAAAGGATTTTGACAACAAAACGACAAATCCGCCCGCACCGAAGGTGCTGGGGCGTGTGTATCCGCATCGCATAGTCGCAAGATTTCAGTTTTAGCTGGGGGGGGCATTATCGGGGCATTGTCGTTGAAAATCAAACGCAAAAAAAATCGCAAATCCGCCAACCGCTTGTCGGGCGTGCTTTGGGGCTCTTGAGCTCTGCGTTTTAGCAAAAGCATCCTATGCAAAAATAACTCTGCTAGCGGGGGGGACTTTCGCGCGTGCGCGGCTATGGTTGGGCTGCAGGGCCACTGGGGAGAGCGTTTTGGAGGTACATGTTTGGATGATTTTTCGTTACGTCGTACTTGCAGGGCCACGGGGGAGAGCGTTTTGGAGGAGTTTTTGTGCTTTGGGGTGGTTGCTGCGTTGATTCTTGCTCGGCTGCAGGGCCACTGGGGACAGCGCTTTGGAGGTGTATTTTTGGATGGCTTTTGGCAATGCCGAAGTTGTATCACCATTATGGGCCCCAAGGTAGACGAAGTTGGCCCCAAGATGGCTCCAACACAGCCGTAAGACAGCCAACCTGGCGCCTTTTTTTCGCGCGTGCGTGGCTATGGTTGAGCTGCAGGGCCACTGAGCAGAGCGCTTTGGAGGTACATTTTTGGATGATCTTTCGTTACGTCGTGCTTGCAGGGCCACTGGGGAGAGCGTTTTGGAGGAGTTTTTTGTGTTTTGGGGTGGTTGCTGCGTTGATTCTTGCTTGGCTGCAGGGCCACTGGGGACAGCGCTTTGGAGGTGTATTTTTGGATGGCTTTTGGCAATGCCGAAGTTGTATCACCATTATGGGCCCCAAGGTAGACGAAGTTGGCCCCAAGATGGCTCCAACGCAGCCGTAAGACAGCCAACCTGGCGCCTAACTTCGGATGTTCGTGCACGGTGTGGGCGGCTGTCGACGCGAAGTGTCTTGAATAACAACATTTGATGAAGGTTTTGGGACACACAAATTTGTTTGAGGCGTTCTTGAAAAAGTTCTTGAAACAACTTAAATGTTGTTTTGAAGATTTGGTGAAAAATAGCAAGGTAGAACCGGCATAAGCAAACATCAGCGGCTTCATGGTACGGCTCTAGCTGGCTACAGTAGGGGTTCGTATTAGCCAGGTAGAGCCGGGACGGTGGGACAGTGGGACACCAGTACAACTAGACTAAAATACTATACTACCTGCTGATAACACGGCAAGCTAGAAAAGCAAAGAAAACAGCAAAATAGTTGAAAGGCTGTAGCTGGGTTCAGCAAATAGCTCTGTGGTGGGGGCGGACCCAGCCACGTAGCGGCGCGAATATAGTACGAGCGGCACCCAGTAAAACCCTCCCTACAGCCTCAACCACCACTACAACCTCAACCCAGCAGGAGCTGCCACTGAAGCTGCCAAACCTCAAGAATGGAGGTGCATGGCAGTATCACCTAAAGGTGATCTGGTCCATATGTTTTGTGGAGAGTTGTTGATGAGTTTGCTGAGGGCGCGCCATAATCCTTCTGGGTGTTGCCATATCTTTGACAGGAGTACTGTGCTTCCTTACGTCCACTCTCAAACCAACACACTTTCCCACTTTCCCACTTTCTAACTTTACCAAGTTGGAGCAACTGTTTTACAGTGTCTCGAAACTCTTTCGTCGAGCGTCCCTACAAAGCCTTGCAGACATGCTAAACAAAAAGAATTCAAGCCAAGAACAGAGGTACAAATACATGTTACACAAACATACAAAACCACACAGAACCTAGGCCTGGACCCCTGAATCTAGTCTTGTTGAGCACAAGTTTCACTGGCAATCCCTGCCAAGCCTTGTTAACTTGTCAGGAGGAAGAAGCTCAGCATGGGTTGATGGGTAGGGGGTCTTATTGATCGCGTGATTATTGTTTCTGCTCTTTCCGCTTTGCCAATCTTTCCAGCTCGTTGGACGTTCACAACCAGTGAACCTTTGGCCAAAACGTACAGTAGCTGTCCTCAGGAAGCCCCTGTCGATCTGGATCGGCTGCGTCCATTGGAAATGCATGACACAGCCTCATGGCATTGCATCGCCGGCACAATAGCCCAAAAGGTTCAGCCAGCCAAAAACTCTGGCGTTGCACACGCAACAAAGCAACTGGCTTCTTCGCAACACAGAAAGGTTAAGTGGCCCTAAAAATCTAGGAACCAAATCATTAGTGCGAGCGCTTCTTCAAGGAAGCTCCCCCCCCCTCAGGCGGGGGAACTTCCTTAGAGAAGCGTGAGATATCCTGCGTCCATACTAGTAGCTTAAGTAGCAGGAGCGGAGCGGGCTGTATACATTTATATGATGGACTTATACCTTTCTAAAAGAATGTTTATTTACTGTAGAGAAATGCCACGACCGGAGACTCATTTTGGCATGCTAGCCGTCTTAGCCATAGCCCATTCTTCTTGGTGACAATCTAACTGCAGGAACAAACAGAATACAGATCTTCTCCCACCCTCATGAAAGTGAAGGTGTGCATGCCATGCTTGAGTACCGGTCTCTGAATCTGTTGCTTGGTATTTCTACCCGTGCTTCCAGTCAATTGGATCTGGTGTCCGTGCAAATGCATCTCAAAACGCCAAGACAGGACCACCCAGTCCTGGCGGAAAGCCCGAGCCGAGCAATCTTTGTGCCAACACCTTTTAAGTGGAGCAATCCTTCGATGGTCCATATAATGCAATGAACGGCCTCCAAAGTTTGAACGCATTGGATCTGCTTCATGATTCAACTGTCCAACGCAATCTTATAGTACTGAGCAGTCCCCTTCGGTGCTACGCAGGATTCTTCAAGAAAATGCACTGAAGAGGATTTACAAATTATGACTCCCATGGCCCATGGCGACGCCAAACAAACTTGTTCTTACGCTGTAAGGCTTGCTGTGAACGAAGCATGTGCCCGGCACTCAGTATGCACAACCTGCATACAGTCTTAGAGACGTTGGCACTAATCGTGCAGCGCTGATAGCGTTCCATCTGATGATGGGATGCAAAGTCCGCCTCACAGCCTACCCTGCTTATCCCTGCTTGGTATTCTGCAGTGGTTGTTGTCATCACTCGCATCTTTGTGCAAGGTCCTCGTACTTGAAATTGCCGTAGATGGGAGTGCCCTTTCCATCAACATCATGAGGATCCTGAAACGGATGGCATCAAGAAAATCAAGCTTTATGACATGGAGAGCTGGTAGCTCAACATACCTCACACCCTTTGTCTCAAACTATCATCGCTGAAGGATCCAACAAATCCATCTATGCAATTCTCGCAATAGAGACTTTCTCGTCTCAACAGCGTTGAACGCACTTCCAGGGCATTGCTAACCCAAATGCGACTCATTTGACTCATTTGCTGTCACTGCCTTCACATCTTCAAGATCAATCGACGATGCCTTGGGTCCGGTCAGGTGATAAATCCAAGCGCCTGGTTCAAGTTCTCATTAAGGCCCGGACCACATGTAGCAAACTATCGTCTTTTTGGCTCCGAGTGCAAAAGTCCTTTTGCCTTGGAGCTCAAGCTGTCCCTCCAAAGTACTACTTACTACTTCTTGAAGCTCTGAGGAGTGGTGCCCATTCTGGAAAACTCTCCGCACATTTTTCCATTCCTGACAGATCTGACAAACATTGTTGAAAGGATTTACCGCAGAATGAATCCACCATTTCGCTCCGCCTCACATCTCCGGTGGAACCATTCACCCGGCACCAGGTCCTCCACTACTTGCTTGGCCTGCACACAAAACTCCAGATCCCTCACAATACAACCATCCCCATTTGACAAGAAAACGATGCAGAACAAACTGCTGCAAAACTGCAGCAAATAAGGCAAATTCTGACATGTCGCACTTGCTTTGCCATGCAGCTGCCATCCTCTGTTGTACTAGCGGAATACAGCAATTTGCGCTGCGCCTTCCGTTCCCTGAGCCATTGAGCCAACTCTGCACGAG